AAAAAATGCTTGACGAACGCGGGGATCTTAATATCGATTGTTCGGGAATTACTGAGGATCAATAAACTGTTGAGTGGTAGTAGTTTAAATAGCGTTTATTTAATAGCGTATGTATTTACAATAGCGGTTAGCGGAGCTCAGAGCGCAATTGATGTTGGCTCTTTGCTTGTTGAGACGTATCTGATTTATTACAATAATAGCGGAGAGAATAACTAAAGTTAACTATACAAATATACACAGTAGTCGTTATATGAGTCAGAGTAGAAAAAGAGATAAGAAAAGAAAATATAAGTTCTGAAATTAAAGTATGTATAAATGTAAAGTGAAAGTTATAAAATTAATAAGTGTTACTTTTGGTTGAAAAGTGTTACTTTTAGATGATAAAGCAAAGATAAAGCTATTACAATTCCAGGAAATATAACTATTGCATTTAACGTATTGTGCTAAAGAAAATTAGAAAATGAAGAGAGAAAATTAAAAGTTCACGATTGGCGTGAACAGCCTTTTTAATAAAATTATAATATATTTTTCGAGTGAAGAATTGATTTTTGTCTATGATATCTACACTATTGACGTATTTTAAAAGTTATTTTCTACTGTTGAACAATGCTAAATAGTTTCAAAAACGATGTGGAATTATTATAAACCAAAATGGCGGCGTTGACTTGTAATAATTGTCCGAAATATATGTTTGTATCTAGATTATCAAAAATCTTTGAATAATTTTCTGACACATAATTATATTTAAGGATTTAATTTGTAAGTTAAAGTTGGGATACTGATTGCGAATTGTGGGGAGTGCTTCAGGCACCTGCTTAAGCAGAGCTGTGTGTATACTTAATTATTATGTTTTTAAGTTTTTGTTTCATTAAGATAACGAGATGTAGTATTGTCAAAGTATCATTTATAACGTACAGGTTAATATATGTTAAAGAGGCCTCCTTGAATGGCGAATCATCGATAATTTTCATTGAAATGAAGAAACACACTCCACATATGGTTTTTTAATTGTTTTACTTATGGGATGTGTACACAAAGTAAGAGAAGGAAGTTAGAAGTACCTAAAAAATAAGATGTTAAGTCGATTAAATGGAGAAATTCTAAGTATCACAGCGTGGATAACACAACGTATAAGTGTGTTGATAAACCAGATAATAATGTTAACATAAACTTACCCGTTAAAATTTTAAATAATACTCATCAATTACCACTTTATTAACTATGATTTAAAACTTAAGCATATTAGACAGTTTGTGTAATGGTACGGTTTTAAATAAATATCATTATGATTGTTTGATAAATAATTATTCAATAAACAAGTGATACAATCACATAAATTAAGTAAGTCAATCAATATTGATTGTTAAATATTTTATGATAATACATTTCATTTGACATTTTCTGACGCGTATAAGTTAAAAGGTTAAATATGAGGCACGCGGAGTCTTCAATCTAGATGAGTAATATTCATGGTTCGATAGGGCTCTGAAACGTAACTCATAAAAATAAACCAACCTAATAGAGGGATACATTTATAGATTTTATTGTTCTATAACTGAGTACAATTAATATTTATATGTGTATTATTATGCCATAGAAATACATATAAAAAAAATCAAAATATATATAGTTTGACGATAAAGTTAACAAAAGAAATATCAGCACAATTTGATCATTTACACTCTTAAAAGATTGAAATAAAATCAATATAAATTAGTTTATGAGAATAGCATTTAATGGCTATTCATTATTTACATGTTATAAGCCAATTTGTCTACCTTCTGGGTAGTGCAGAAAAATATACGGAAATAAGTATATACTTAAATATCTAGGGGTTTGTGGATGGCAGTAGGGATCAAGGAAAACCATGTAAAGGTCTGAAGGCTGTAAAGGTTTAGCCAAAAAATGTTAGTCGAAAGTCAAAATAACAGAAAAAATGCCAGAATTTCCCTTACTTTATAAGGGTGTTCCGGGAGATAGAGTTTTTGGTGAACTGTGGGTGGTTGTGTGCAATGGCCCACACAGCAACTATTGTACAAGAAGATAAGTCTATGAGTAAACAACTAAAACGTATGATATAACGTAATAGAATTATAAACAAAACATTTCCGTGATGCTAAAATGAAAATGATTAAATAAAATAATGTGTGCACACATGCCTACAGTTGTAAAAATACAGTTATTTTATATATGAATTAATCTATTTAGTAAAATATAGAAATTACCCGGCAACAATAATATGTTTCCCAAATTTTTTTGCAGCTTGAATTTCATTTCTAAAATGATCTTCTGCTGGATTTTTTACTGTACATGAATTTAAAATCCACAAATCTGCGATGTACTTATTATCTGTTAAAGTATAACCATACGACGATAACTGGCCAGCCATATATTCACTATCAGATGTATTGTGCGTACATCCCCAAGTTTTTATAAAAATTGTTTGAGTACCTGGAATAATACTTGAATAAATTTGTAAGTCTGGACTGACAATTTCTTGTACTTTTTTTTTGTTGATTATTGACGTGATGTTTCTCTCTGATTTATGTTTCTTCTCAAATTTTACATCTTCTGATGTGATTAAATCTTCGATATCTTTAACAGTATCAAAACCTTCGGAATCCATCACTGAAAATATTTTTAAGTGTTTTAATGTTATCTTACAATAATCGTTTTGTAATCGTTTGTGTACATTCTCATATTAGTAAGTTGTTAAGATGTACAATCATATTTAAGTAAAAAACGTGGGCAAAACTTGATACATGGTTCTTAAAGACTCTGTATTAAATAATATGTTTGTACGTAAAAAATTTAAACATCACATAGAACACCTAACATCTTTTAATAAAAAAAATTTTTTATGAACCATCAAAGATAGCGATTTTCAAAAGAAATTTTTCAACATCTCAAGTTATTTTTAAACTAGTTCTGTTTTAATCAAAACTTTGAACACATTCATGAAACTTACCCTAATTCTTTTACACGTTTTATTACTCAACTAAATCAAAACCAATTAAAAAAGAAAAAGATAAGAGTTGTGCGCACCGGTGCCACTTTTGATGATGAATGTTCAGTCGCGGTAGCTAGGGCTGAGCACGCTGGGTCCAGGCAGGTGAGATAAGGAAAAGGAGGATGCGAGAGGTCACCTCAATGATCACAAGCTGCTTCTTTGGTTCAAGTATGAATGTTTATTCATTAAAAAAATACTCCCTAACTGCTCTAAAATCAAGAAAAAGGCCACATTGGCGAGGGGCACGTATAACTTTATGTGTGTGGCTGGCTCGCGTGCGACACGTCCTGTTCGGCTTCCGAACTGAGAAGAAGGAACGAGAAGGGCAGCAGCAGCGGCGTGGCTCTCCTCGCTGAAGAGAGTCGCGCGGCGGCTCTACCTTTTATTGGCTCTACTGTTCAGCTAGTAGGCAGTAGAGCAGCAAGACTACTATCGGCTATAGGCCTTAAACAGAGAACGGCTGCAACATGCCACCCGCCAAACGTCGCCTACAGGGCGTTTAATTAATAAAGTACTACGGTTCCAGTAGAAGCTAATAAATATTAAAGTAAGAACTGAATGAATATTTTGAAACGCGGCTTACAATCATTGCGGGTAAAGAAAAGAAATGCCTCAACTGGCCTAAACTAAGTTACCATTACAAACGTGGTTAGAAAATGATGGGCTTATGGCCAATAAATGAGTAATATCTAATATTCAGTAATGACACTGGGAGTACCGCCCGCCCTGGAAGGGCACCCTTAGTTAGCTGGAAGTGAGGTTGTTGGCGAAGCGGTGAGCGGCACCAGCATGCTGACAGGCCGACGAATTTCAGACTTGGCCGTGCGGACCATTGCCACCCGACATAGGCCATCTTCTACTGGGAAGGTTCGCACGATGCGGCCCATGAGCCACTTTGTGGCAGGTTGAAGCTCGTTTTTGATTAGGACTACTTCTCCCACTTGAAGGTTGGGCTGAGCACGCGTCCACTTGGTACGTTGCTGCAGCTGAGTGAGATATTCCTGACTCTATTTAGACCAGAAGTGATTGCGGATTTGCTGCACGTGCTTCCATCTGGAACTGAGACAAGTTTTGGAATCCAATTCTGTAGGGTCAGGAGGAGAAATAAGGGCGGCTTCTATCAGAAAGTGTCCAGGGGTTAAGGTGACTGGGTCTTCATCGTTTGAACTAAGATACCCAAGAGGCCTTGAGTTTAAGCAAGCTTCAATTTGACTCATGAGCGTAGCGAGCTCCTCATAGGTAAGGAGAGCCTCTCCAATCACGCGCTTAAGATGATGTTTCCACGCCTTGACAATAGACTCCCAGAGTCCGCCGAAGTTCGGTACGTAAGGTGGCGTGAAGTGCCAGCTGACTCCTTCACTGGCCAGGGAGGAAGCCGCTTGCTGACCTACTGCAGAGGTTTCTTCAAATAAGCGGCTAAGTTCGGCGTCGGCGCCTTGAAAAGTGGTGCCGTTGTCACTGTACATGTGTAAACAAAGTCCTCGGCGAGACACGAAGCGGCGAAATGCTGCTAAAAACGCCGGTGTGGAATAGTCAGAGACTACTTCAATGTGCGTTGCTTTAGTAGCAAGACACACGAAGACCGCGATGTAGTCTTTCATGACCTTTCGACCACGACCGGGGGAAGCCTTAAAGGACGATGTCGCATGAAAACGCGAAACAATCGAATCTCCATCTCATCAGGATTGCGCGGATATCCTCGAGAAGGTTAGGGCCTGGGAGCATGAAGCTATTCAGCGAGCGACCTCGGCGATCCTTACTTGATGCATTGAAGACTATGCGTATTCTCTTGTAAGAATCGTCCCGAACTACTAGGTGTTGTGGAATGTAGGCTACCTGCTCCGGCTCGGGTTGACCGACGGAGACTGGCGACATGTGGCCAAGACTCTCGTAGTCTTTCATGAACGTATTATATGCCTGTCGAAGTGCAGGGCATGCCGCCAGCCGGCGTTCCATGCTCCGAAGCGAGCCCAGAGCTGCTTCTCGAGTACTTAAAAGGGAGGGCGATTCGGAAAACGGAAGGCGGATGACAAAACAACCCAAGATATCTTGTCGCACGTTCTCCTGGAAATGCCTATAGCAATTTTTATCGTCTGAAGAACCATGATCGACATTAAATGGCTCTTCAACCTCCCAGAATTTTCGTAACGCGACAGACAACTCTTGGTCGACGGTTAGAGTAAATGATTGAGTGGACTTTACCTCGAGGCCGGGGGATAGCAACAGCACAGCAGCGTTAGAATGCGTGCGTTGATTTATGAGCAGCAGAACCGCACTGTAGCAGCAACAACTCCGAATTGGGTGTGAGCGTGTGTGCACGAATGAGCGACAACACACAGCCCTACAGCAGCAGCAACTTCGAATTGGGTGTGAGCGTGTGTATACGAATGAGTGACACCACACGGCACTACAGCAACAGCAACTTCGAATTGGGTGTGAGCGTGTGTGTACGAATGAGTGACAACACACGGCACTACAGCAGCAGCAACTTCAAATTGGGTGTGAGCGTGTGTATGTGTATATACATACGACGGCACAGCAGTACGCGCTCAGGCTCGTGATCGAATGTGCGAGCGTGTAAGTGTGTATGTATGTGAGCGACAGCACTACGCGCAGCTGTGGAGCCAAGATGGCGCACTTGACTCACCGTGGGTCTCGATGCCTTGTTGTGCTCTGTTCTTAAAATGGCCGCCGTATTGATGAGCCTCGTCGTGGCCGCTGCGATTTTCCTATGGCGCTGCCCGGATCCGGCTCGAAGGACCAAAAAATGTGCGCGCCGGTGCCACTTTTGATGATGAATGTTCAGTCGCGGTAGCTAGAGCTGAGCACGCTGGGTCCAGGCAGGTGAGATAAGGAAAAGAAGGATGCGAGAGGTCACCTCAATGATCACAAGCTGCTTCTTTGGTTTAAGTATGAATGTTTATTCATTAAAAAAATACTCCCTAACTGCTCTAAAATCAAGAAAAAGGCCACATTGGCGAGGGGCACGTATAACTTTATGTGTGTGGCTGGCTTGCGTGCGACACGTCCTGTTCGGCTTCCGAACTGAGAAGAAGGAACGAGAAGGGCAGCAGCAGCGGCGTGGCTCTCCTCGCTGAAGAGAGTCGCGCGGCGGCTCTACCTTCTATTGGCTCTACTGTTCAGCTAGTAGGCAGCAGAGCAGCAAGACTACAATCGGCCATAGGCCTTAAACAGAGAACGGCTGCAACAAGTGTTATTTTTTAATATTAATAACTACCTATTCATTTATGTGTCCTTATATTTTAATGTATTTTTATGAAACCGTTAATAATATTTGGTGAATGAGTAACTATTGCTTCGAAAAATGCATCTCTAACTTCAATTTCGGACAATTCTGTAATATCGGGTAGATTGTTATATGTTCTAACTATTTTATCGTACTTATCCCAAAATGTGAAAGCTGTTTCCTTACTGGGATTGTATTTAATGTTGTACATTTTCCGTCTAAGTCCTGCGGAGGATAGTAACTTCTTACTATCTTTTGATTCGTTTATTTTACTCAAGAGTTCTTTCGGATCGCGGATGTGTGCTACTTTAGTATGATAGGTCGGATCAATTCTATTAATTATTATGACTCTTACCTTAGCTTTATCTTTTTCTAACGTTTCTTCTTCTAACTGTTTACTGGGTTGAATTTTTCCATCAATTACGTACAGCAGATTTCAGACTAGCAGTTCTGAGTTCAAATAATCAAAAAATGCGTTTATGCTTAATTTTTAGGTTAATTTATAATCGCGTCTATTAGCGGTCTCGCGGTTTACTACTTCTACTTGGATTTAATTTTGCAAACCGGATTAATTTAGGTCGTACTTTGACAATTCTTCACGAATAGTTTGACTAAGTAAAGCTTTGTTTAGATTCCGATTGTTCATATTAAATGCAATACCTGTATCTATGTTATTTCCTGCACCCTTGGGACTGGATAAGGGTAATTTTATTTTATTATTTTCTACCTGTTCTAGCTGATATTGGTCTTCTAACTCCTCCTGTCTTTTCCACGTTTGCACTTGGGTCTCAATCCTCTCTGGCCTTTCCTTTAACTCGTTGGCATTTTGTACAAGTGTTCCAACTACCTCATCTAACTTTTTAAACACTAGCGTCCTCTGGGCTGTACTTTTTTCCTCCGACTTGTCTAGCTTTCCTTCCATTCTAGCAATCCTATCCTATAGATCTGTAGATGAATTATATTTTTTCGAATTTACCTTAGTCATCTTATTGGATGTGTTATTATAAAATTTGAATCGATTTAAGTCTAAATCTGTCTTTTCATGCTGTAAAATTTTTATATTTGTACCTTTCATTTTTCTCTCAAACATGTCGTAATTGGAGTTAATTAATTGTGCACTTCATGCAAGCTCGCTTGTATCTAGCATATCTTTTAACTTCTCTTTATCTAACTGTGCTTGGTCAAGAGTAAGCGCGTCACTGATCGGGTCAATGGTCTTCTCTGATTGTGCACTTGGACTCTTGGACATTTATTCCTTAATCGAGTCTTTGACGACTCTCAAGGTTTCATCCGAAATCGAGTCCTTATCTAAAAAAAATTATGTGTGTATGTTTGAGTATATGAAATATGGTATGGATCCACTACTCTTGGCGAACATCGACCAAAGAGTGCAAACCCTGTACGAATTGAAGGTTGTTTACCCAACGTACAACAACTGAAGTAATAACACCTTTTAGAGAAATGCAGCCGCTCCTCACAGTGAACATCAACCAAGAGGGCAGTGCTGATTCTTTTTGCTTTGCCGGCATCTTCTGGCGAACAACAACCAAGAAGTGTAACCAGCTAGCTGAAAGACTCAAAAGTTTTATCAAACGAAACTAACTTAACAGTTTTTCTAACTTTACCAATTTCATATGTCGTGCCTCCGCTTGTTCTGATACACAATGTTTCCTCTTAAAAGACGGGATAGAACAGCTCGTCGGGATGGCGCTTAGAAATACCCAGAGTCTCGTCTTGGGTCAGTAAAAATAGCTGGAGCGTTCTTTGATCTAGCATAAAACACACGCTATTTATTTTCTATTTACCTGCATCGAGAAAAAAAAGATCAGTCGTCATTTTTTAACTATACACGGGGTTACACAGAAAAGAGAGAGAGAGAGGGCATATGTATAAAATCATCTATTTCTATGTATAAAATGAAACATGCACCTCTTTCTCTCGACATGCGCGTGCACTTTATCGAAATGCTACGCGTCTTCCAATACGGCGGTCGCTTTCGCGAAGCCTCGCTTTTTCTCCTCGTGTATATATATACACATACACACGCCTTTACGCGTCCAACGATTCCTCGCGCGAGTCGATACAAAAGAAGAAAAAAATGTAACACCTAACCTCCGTGCTATGAACTCGCGCACTTTATTTTAGTATTGTAAACTGGACCTACCTTTCATCCTTGGCTCAAACGCAAACTTGGGAGTCTGTTGGGACCGCGCGGCCATCTTCCCCTCTCTCGAGCCCTTTTGCCACCGACACACTCACGACACTCTCTCTAACTTCGTGCTAGCTTTTCCTATAATAGAAACTAGCTTAGGTGTCGTTCACTGGCACCCGGAGCCTCGCGTCCACCCGCGGCGCGCAGCACGCTCCCACGTGCGTCGTCTATAGGGCGCAGTGGAAGTGAGCTGGGCCCATAACCTGCTAGAGTTTTATTTTTCTCTATATACGCCACGAGGGAAGATGCGGGCTCCTTATTAATAAAAACACTCAGCACTATTTAATTATATCAACACCTTTCATTTACTAGCTTTCTCTAGCTTATACAAACCGTTTAATTCTAGCTTTCTATCTAACTTATTATTAGTAATTACAATACAATAAAGACTTTTATGAAAACAAAGTAAACTAAAACGCAAAGTTGATAAACTGTTGCACGTGAAGAAAGAAGAAAACTTTTTGAAGACAACCAAGTAGCTCGAGGATCAGTACAAGAGAGAGAGATCGGCCGAAGCACAGCAGCCGGTAGGTGATTGCAAAAGCACTTCTAGCTGTCAGCTGTGATCATGGCTTACTAGGTGTCGCCACCGCGCGACCTCTGATTTGATCGGGTTGATGCATCGTGCCAACTCTGACATGTTATTTTAATTAAATTAATTAAAGTGAACTAAATGGTACTTATTACGTTATGATCTCTGCAAGTGTTATAGAGATAGCCATAGTGACTACTGTTAGATCAAATCAAAGTTTTGCATAATATTTCTAAGCCTCGACAATTAACTTGATGTAATTTTCTGTAACTAAACTACACTCATTCACGCGAACGCCTGGTTAATTTTCTGATCCTCACCTCAAACGTTAAAGAATTCACTTATGTTGCAATATATTTTTACTGAAAATAAATATTTTTCATAGTTACTTATTTGTAGTTGATAATTAAAATGCAAAGAAAAGTACTTATTAACCATAAACTTTATTTAATAACTCAAATTAAAAGTCTTCAATGCTATTATTACTATTTTTATTATTATTATTATTATTATTATTATTATACATCAAAAAACTTACAAAGTTTAATTTTTCTAACTTGTATATGTATTTACATATTTCAAAAATATCATGTAGACTATCGTTTTAGTTAATAATTATTTAATATTAATGAATTTAATTTAATAAAAATTTTTTAATTTTGATTGATTGAACAGTGTTTACAAAATATGAATACAGTTGATTTGTAATCTGAATCAATACTTTTTTTTGTATCACTAAATAAACCTTTCATTCAATAAAAAAATTTATAAATAAGGAACAGAAAAATAAAAATAAGAAGAGTGACTTCACCGATCAAATAAAGTGATAGTACGGTGCACCTGCATTGTGCACGTATCAGCAGTCGTTAATTTATTTCCTGACTTAATGCACAGAAACATCAGCGACAACACTTCTTAATTGAAAATAAGAAGCCTTTAAGTTTTAATTAACAATAGAGAACAGA